CCCCAAAACGTAAGCGCCACACACGCTGGGGACCGGGACAGAAGGAGGTCTGGGAGTGGTCTGCCGTGAGCAAGGTCAGTATTATTTCTGTCAGCGCGCCACGCCAACAGAATCCCGTGGAACCATGACAATACTATGCTTTGATTGTCATTGTATCTAATGATTAGGACATTTATTTGTTACTTTGTTAGTATTTGACACACTCTTGCAAACTCTTATATTATCTTCTGTAGCCTGTATATTACCATTTATTTAACAAAATGTATCCAATGTTTCAGTTCTTGGGTGTTGGGCACATTTATTTGTATATTTCATATATCACCTAGCATGTTAGGGTGATCCTATAGTGCCTGGAAAACAATGCCGTTTTCCTGTCACTATCGATTTCTAAGGTGCCCCCCTCCCTCGCACCCACCTCCAAGCAGGCACAGAAGGGGTTAAAACCCCTTCAGTCACTTACCTGAATCCAGCACTGATGTCCCTTGGTGCTGGGTCAGGCTCTGCCCGCGCTCTTCCCCTGCAGACATCAGCTGGTGGGGAAGACCTAATGCGCATGTGCTGCAATGGGGAAAAGTCTGGTAGACAGCCACTGAGGGCAGACTTAGAGCTGCAATGTAAACATTACATTTCTCTGGAACTGCAATGTTTTACATTGCAGCACATCGTGCAAAAGGGACAGAGCACCCAGACGACTTTAATAAGCTGAAATGGTCTGAGTGCCTACAGTGTACCTTTAACTTCTTTGTTTTATTGTCGTATTTTCTGCACAGTATTTAGGTATTCATTACTCACCATTTGGGGATTAACATGTTACTTTGACTCTTCCAATTTGATGCTGTTGACAACTCTGTGTGATGTGATTATACCTTGATTCATTTCTGCTTGTTTGTACACACTCCATGACAATCTTACGTCAGTGATGTCACTCACGTGTCATGGAGCTTCTTTCTCTTCTTTCTTTCATGATCACCCTCTTTTTGTTTTGAATGCTGGTTATGTATACTCAGCATGCACATGTGTTAGATATCTAGAAAAAAGTCTTGAACAGAGATCAAGAAATGTTGACTATTTCTGCATCTGCTTGAATGTAATAAATCCGAAAATAAGATTGGATACATACCCTTTGTATGTGTATCTACATATATTGATATGATTGCATATTTAGAGATCTCATAAATGTCGCTTGCACAATTGTTTTTACGTTCTGTAGAAAATATAATTTAAAAAAAATGTTTACATGTCTTTACTTACAATATTGTTTATAGAGATACATTAAAATCATTTTTGGTAATGTTCACTTTTTTCTTGGAGTTAAAAAAATTCTTTGTTAAATGGAATTCTCAGATAATGGCGAATTAAGATAGCAAACTTGATTTAATAAAAATCACTAGATACTGGAAGATGATCATTGGTTGGCATCATTGTCTTGTCTTCTGGGTCTCATTATTACTATCTTTGTGTTACTATGAGGATTGATTGGCCTTCGGTGTAAGCATTATAATAGGCTTCTACTAATTATTACTCTTGATACTGTAGCACACTCATTAGCAGACAGATTTGGCAAGAAAATCCAGGCAACAGCTGACAATGCCATTTTTAATAGATCCTCAATTAGGATTCTGGGAAATGGAAAAAAAACGAATGTAATAACTAATGACTTTTAAATTCATTAGGTTTAATTTATTAGAAACAAATAGTGATTATGTGTAATTGTTCAAGAATCTATTATATATATATATATATATATATATATATATATATACACACAGACACACACACATATATACACACATACACACACATATATATATATATATATATACACACACACACGCGCATATATATATATATATATATATATACATACATACATACACTGAACAAAATTAAAACGCAACACTTTTGTTTTCTGCCCCCATTTTTCATGAGCTGAACTCAAAGATCTAAGACTTTTTCTATATACACAAAAGGTCTATTTCTTTCAAATATTAGGATATACAAAACTGGAGAGAGAAAAACTCCCACCAAATTTGTAGTGGTTGTGGGGTAATACAGGGCCTAACCCAGAGAAAGGAGATAATAGAGAGGGCTTGAAAAAAGGTCTGCAAGGAGGCACACCTGGTTCCAGTCCTATAACCCTAATGGAAATTACTAAGTAAAGGTAATTGGCATATAGTGCCTAATTTACATAAGCATAGAAAATAAAAAAAAACTTTATTGTCCAATATTGGATAAACACATCTAAATATCCCAGACACCAAAAAAAGTGAAAAAATAATAATAATGAAAAAAAGGAGATGATAATAAGCATAAAAATAGGACCAACTACTGGAGCTAATGTGTACAAAGTGTACTAATTACAAAATAGCCAGGTAGTGATACTGATGAAGTGGAAACAGTATCTGAGGGGAGATATACAGTATATACATAGGTAGATGCAGTAAGGTAACCCTAGTCGTACTGGCCAAGTGGCAACAGAATGGCTATATCTTATAACTAGTCAAGCTCAAAGTAATGTAAATCTGTCTGTGTGGCTCTAAGTACCGCAGGATCAAATAGGTGTCTGGCTTGTCAGAGAGTATCTGGGAAGTCCACAGCAGACCACAGATAAAATAGAGTCATGATCGGGAAAACTGACAGTGGATAACATAAAAGATTAGATTGCTTCTCCCCTATTAAGATAGTCTCTGACAGCACCTAAATGTAGGTAAAGGCCCTGGGGAGATAGCGCAGCTAAGCGGACAAGGGCACATGTAGGAGTGTGGGGATAGATACAGGGGAGGGACTTGGGAAGTGTGCATGGGAGGGGTTAGGCTTAATGTAAGTTAGTGTGGGGGAGGTCTTACCTCAGTGCCACTTGGGATACGGGCCAGCAAACAGCTTCCCGCCCGCCCACCCCTTTTAGTTTCAGTTAGTCACAGCTAGGTGGAGGTATGTCCTTGCCAATCAAGTTTGAAGGGTTATGTCTAAGGATGGACTTAGTTTTTATGTTTTACAGGTCTCAACCTCCCCTGCTTAAAAGGTTAAACATTAGGTTGCCTGAGGTATCGTGCCCATCGAGCGTGGATAAGGTCGGCTGATGGCGGGCATTGGAAGGATTTTTTATGACGAGGGGGGAGGTGAGAGGAAGTGGTGATTAGGAATCACTGGATGTTTATTGGCAAGGACGGTTGGGTCTCTGCATAGCACATTTTGTTATTATATGTATATATGTTAATTTATGATTATTTATTTCTAACAGAAAGAAGAGTTTAATAAAGAAAGTTATGGATGTGTTATGCAGTAATTTATTTATGTTATAATAAATGCTGTGGCTTGTTCATCCATATTAAGTTGTCTGTCGTTATTGTTTTTTTTTTTATTGGGGTTTTCTATGTTATGTGGTATCGTAATTCCCCACTACGTACATACACGGAGCGCACAGTTCTACCCAGATAAAATTCAGGGCATCAACATCAAAGAGTAAAAAACAAAACCGGCTTGAATAAACCTATATAGTGTAAAGTATATAAAATCTGAAGTAGATATTTAGTAGATAACCCCAAAAAACAGGTTCTAGGTTTCGTTGGCAGATAAGGGATAGCATCCAGTATACTACTGCAGATCCCTAAATGGGCTCTTAAGATAGATAGTGCACTAATAAATCTCTGGGTCACGGGATAGATTATTCAGTACTTTGCTGGAAGAGTCCCTTGGAAAAAGAGCCCACTAGAATGGATAGATCAACTGAATGCTTATTATATTTGTAGTGTCTGGTATTGCTCAGGTATGCTGTGCTAAGCTTAAGGAGTAGTTAACAACTCAACAACTGTGTTCTTATCATGCTTGTAGTATACAGTATCGCTCAGGTATGCTGTGCTTCAACTGGAGGAGTAGTGAAATGCCTATCAAGAGCTAGATAAACCCATATCTGAGAGACCCTGAACCCTCGGCTAAAAGTAGCTGCAGAGCGGTCTAAATCTAAAAACCCATAAAAATGTGGAGTCTACCTCAACGCATTTCGGCGCTAGCATACGCCTTTGTCAAGAGTTCGGTTTAGACTGAAAGTGCCGGCTCTTATAACAGGATGTTTACGCCCCTTCGTTTAATGACGCTTGTATTGGTAAACCAATTGCATCTTGTTGGGGGCGGGGTATCCATGTAATTGACATCTATAGTTCAGTGTGTGGTGGAGATGTAACATTAACTCTTTGATCCCCAGAATGTATAGTTTGTCCCCAATGGGATAGATATTATGTTTCTATTGCAAATGAGTGTTTAAACTAAATATGTTCAATAGAGGAGTTTCTGAATGGTACTACCTAAATGATCTTGTAAAAATAAATAGATTGTAGAGGTATTGCAAGTTAGGGATATTTCTAGACTAGAGTAATTAATAGATGATATATATATATAAGCATAAATACACTATGTTATAGGTTGACAGTTACTGATAGTCAGAGTTGGCTGTCAGAAATAGAATGAATCTTAAAGGGATATTTCTAGACTAAAGTAATCAATAAATGATATATTTATAAGCATAGATAGAATATATTGCAGACTGACAATTACTAATAGTCAGAGCTGCCTGTCAGGGATAGAATGGATCGTAGAGGACATAATTTGGATAAGATCCCTAAAAGGGGTAGATGTTATATTTTATATTGTGTAATGTTTATATTGCAGCTACAGGAGTGACCTGGTGATGGTCCCCATATCATACGCATACATGGACACTAGTGATTAGTTGGCAGTTCCTGGTAATCTTAATGGACTGCGTAAAAAATGGGTCTCAAAAGGCTATAGTAGTGTTGGCAAGGTAAATAGTCGTACAGAGGCATCTAGAAATGACTATATATATATATATATATATATATATATATATATATATATATATATATATATGCACCTAGGTGTTTGAATAATAAATATTCTAGTTTATACAGATTTAGAATGTTCCTACATATAGAGATCCGTTCCCTACATTTAGGTGCTGTCAGAGACTATCATAATAGGGGAGAAGCAATCTAATCTTTTATGTTATCCACTGTCAGTTTTCCCGATCATGATTCTATTTTATCTGGGGTCTGCTGTGGACTTCCCAGATACTCTCTGACAAGCCAGACACCTATTTGATCCTGCTGTACTTAGAGCCACACAGACAGATTTACATTACTTTGAGCTTGACTAGTTATAAGATATAGCCATTCTGTTGCCACTTGGCCAGTACGACTAGGGTTACCTTATTGCATCTACCTATGTATATACTGTATATCTCCCCTCAGATACTGTTTCCACTTCATCAGTATCACTACCTGGCTATTTTGTAATTAGTACACTTTTGTACACATTAGCTCCAGTAGTTGGTCCTATTTTTATACTTACTATCATCTCCTTTTTTTCATTATTATTATTATTTGTTCACCTTTTTTTGGTGTCTGGGATATTTAGATGTGTTTATCCAATATTGGACAATAAAGTTTTTTTTTTTTTCTATGCTTATGTAAATAAGGCACTATATGCCAATTACCTTTACTTAGTAATTTCCATTAGGGTAATAGGACTGGAACCAGGTGTGCCTCCATGTAGACCTGTTTTCAAGCCCTCTCTATTATCTTCTTTCAAATATTGTCCACAAATCTGTCTAAATCTGTGTTAGTGAGCACTTCTCCTTTGCCGAGATAATCCATCCACCTCACAGGTGTGGCATATCAAGATGCTGATAAAACTGCATTATTATTGCATAGGTGTGCCTTAGGCTGGCCACAATAAAAGGCCACTCTAAAATGTGAAGTTTTATCACACAACACAAAGCCACAGATGTTGCAAGTTTTGAGGGAGCATGCAATTGGCATGCTGAGTGCAAGAATGTCCACCAGAGCTGTTGCCCGTGAATTGAATTTTCATTTATCTACCATAAGCCATCTCCAAAGGCATTTCAGAGAATTTGGCAGTACATCCAACCGGCCTCACAACCGCAGACCACACGTAACCACACCCGCCCAGGACCTCCACATACAGTATCTTCACCTCCAAGATCATCTGAGATCAGCCATCCGGACACCTGCTGCAACAATTGGTTTGCATAACCAAAGAATTTCTGCACAAACTGTCAGAAACCATCTGTACAGGGCAGATGGCAGACAGTGTGTATGGCATCGTGTGGGTGAGCGGTTTGCTGATGTCAACATTGTAGATTGAGTGGCCCATGGTGGCGGTGGTGTTATGGTATGGGAAGGCATATGTTATGGACAACAAGAACAGGTGCATTTTATTGAGGGCATTTTGAATGCACAGAGATACCGTGACAAGATCCTGAGGCCCATTGTTGTGCCATTCATCCACGACCATCACCTCATGTTGCAGCATAACACACAGCCCCATGTACACAATTCCTGGAAGCTGAAAACATCAGTTTTTGCATGGCCAGCATACTCACCAGACATGTCACCCATTGAGCATGTTTGGGATGCTATGGGTCAGCGTATATGACAGCGTGTTCCAGGTCCTGCCAATATCCAGCAACTTCGCACAGCCATTGAAGAGAAGTGATCAACATTCCACAGGTCACAATCATAGATCATATTCCTAAATAGCCCTGATCTGAGCACACAACATATCCAAAATGCACTCAGAACGCTGTTCGTCTAGGTGGTCAGGAAGTGGGTCAGGCAGTGACCAGGTTCATGAAAACTTGAGGCTGACAACAGTTTCAGGCTTTCGACGACCAAGTTTGCATTTTGGACACAAAATGGCCACCATGAAAGGGACCACGTGCATTTGATTATACGAATAACAGCCACCCAAGGAAAGCACTCAAGCAACGGTGTTATGGTTAACAACCAGGGGAGGTCGGTGTTAACTGGGGCATAAAAAGGGACCACACACAAGTCTTTCCAGAGACGAACAAGGAGGGTACGGACAACCGAACATAAGGGAACATTCCAGTCTGCTACATTTGGAGGTTACTGTGTCATACCCTGTGGGTTCCTAGGAGTATGTGGAAATGGGTCTGATCTACATGAGGAAGGTATTTTCACTTTACATTTTCCATTGGCAAACACAATTTTAAATAAATTTCATTTGTGTTTGATAACTGTAATGCATAATGTCACGATTCACACAGTGCCATCCAGACATGACTATTTGACAAGTGCCAGACTGGGGATTTGAACTGTGGTCCTTCTGTGCCGTAGTCCTGCTATCTTGCCTCTGGGCCACACATAAGTTTTTATTTCTGCATCTACTCCTTGTCTCCAGCACCAGGGGGCTGGATTTTACCTGGCGCTGCTCCTATCAATCTCAGCCCACCTGAAGCTGATGCCCAATTAGCCAGGTATAAAACACTGCCTCTCCCTGAGTGCAGTGTCAGTTCATTAACTCTGGTTCCTGATCCAGTGTTCTCCAGTCGGGTCCTGACCTTGGCTTAATCTTATAGTGTGTCCTGCCCTCTGGCATCCTCTGATTTTGGCTTACCCTCGTTTATCCTGGCTTCTGGCACCGCTTTTGGCTTATCCTTGACAATTTTCCTGCTTGTGTCCTTGCCTGTACTGCGACTTGGAGCAATATCCTGCACAGCCCCGTGCACAGACTCACAGGCCAGGTAGTTCCTTATCTGGTCTGTTTTTATTTGCAAGGGTGAGCGTATATCTCTGCATACTGGGCTCCCAACTAAGGTAAGCCCTGACACAGTGTTTTCTAGTAACATTTGAAGTCATCTGGTGATTTACACTTTTAAAACCAGATATGTCTACATATCCCTCTGCAATTCTTTTAAATTACATGATATTTTTTGATATAATAACATTTATCTGTATCGGATATAAGTGTTTTATAGTAAGAACAATGTAAAATAAAATAAACCTCAAAACATTGTTTGCTACTTGATGTATTTCTTTTTTTTTTTTTTTTAAATGTTTTATTTGAATTTGGTTTAGAACAACTAAAAATAGAACTGAAGAACGATCCCTCTGGCTACTTCATTGTATACAGAGCTATTTCATAAATTGCAGTCTACTTTCAGCCAGTCCATGTAGCTGTAATTTTACAATCGGTTCTTTTAAGATGAATTCATGCTAAAGTAGTACAAATTTGTAAGAAAATCACCATGTCATGTTTATAAAAATAGGGTTCTTACATCTAGAGAGAGTGTACATAATCGTAACATAACAACCAAATAAAATGTTACTTGCACACTATCCCAAATCTCTAGGCACGTTTAAATAACTGAAGGTTTTTAGTATCACTCCAATGACCATTAAAGTGTAAGCTCACCTGCCACGTCAAGGCAAACCTCTTAGATGGGTCCTACAATGTCAATTCACCTTGCTGCTTTCAGTAAAATACATAATAAGACAGAGAGGGGGTGCTTTTTTTAATGTGGATAGTGTGCAAGAAACTGATTTCTTTGGTGTTTATTGTATGTATTGGCAATAGTTGAGAGAGGCAGGTTGAGTGTGGCAGCTCTTTTTTTTTTTTTTTTTTAAACGTTTTGTAGAATAAAATGTATTCTAAAATGTGGTACCAATGGCCGTCCACTTAACAAAAATAAAAATAAAGTTAAAGGGAAACTTAGAAAATAAAAACAATATTCCTGGTGCAGTTGCTCCACCTTTTTTCAGATCCCTTTCAATGTCTTTGTGCCCTCCCTGACTGAATCTGGCAATACCTGTCACCTTAACAGATGCAGTTAGGAGAAGCTTATAAGGCATTATGTTTTTTTAATTTTTTTTTTTGCACACTGAACTACTCACTTCTTTTTCCAAGGAAGAAGTAAGCCACAACAATGAAAGGGCATTTAAAAACAGTGGACAATGCGCAGTAGCAGGAGTAATTTAATTTGAAAACAGAGGATTTAAAAAAAAAAAATTTAAAGGAAAATGTGATTGGGCAATTGATGACCCAATCAACCATTCTTCCCTTTAATTTTTTTGAAAAATCACCTTTGATCCTATTAAATTACTCTTGCTGCCACTAAGGCACAGATAAAAAAAAAAAAAAATACTGACAGTCACAGATGCTACAGACTAGATGTGTAGTAAAGTTTTGTAATTGTCAACGAGAAAGGGGTAAGTAGTTGGTCAATTGCCTTTAAGATTACAATTGTTACTTTTTTTTTTACCATTTTTTTTTTTTTTAAACAGATTCTTTGAATTAAATCTAATTTTGTAAACTCAGAATTGTCATTGAAAAATGACTGATATTGCGTAGTCATTAGACCAGGAAATATTGTAGCAATTTTTGCATAGTCCACATTTTTCCTGGTGTTTGGACGGCACAAATATATTTTATTGTGTAAATTTGGTCAAAACAAACAACATGAGCTAAATGTGTAGATAGATGAGATATGATATGATATATTTATACAAATAAGATGTTTAAATTAGGTATAAGTATATTCGTAATGTATACAAGTTTTGTGTTTTTTTGTTTTTTTTTTTCATCTTCATAATGGTTTCTTGTCCACTGTATCATGGGGACATCTGCTGGACAGAAACTGTTCAAGCACAAAATTCATATAAATATAGACGAAATACAATAAGAGTATTAATAGTCTACCAAGCGATTCCAGCTATGATATACAATACAATGTGCCATATTTATAGTCCCAAGTCGCAGTCTTCAGCAATTTTGTGTGTTGCTTTCTATGCTCACATTAATCCAATAAAGAAATCAATCAATCAATCGGTAATATATATGGCAATTTGTGGAAAATTGTCAAGGTCATTATGAGATCACCCTTGCTGCAGTGATGCTGGAGACGCGGTTAAAGCCAAAAGAGAATATGAAATGTCTTAATCACAAATGCTTATAGATCATTGAGAATGATCTTTGACACCAATGTCACTTGCAAGCATTCTAACGGCAGAAAATAGCAGTAGTGACTGTATGATGTATTACATCTAGTTGCAGGGGTTTCGTTACAGTTCCCCATATATATCATGCACAGCAATGGCGTTTTAGCCTGCACTGCAACAAATAACTTTTACAGGGCTCAATTTATTTGGTCTCCACATTTATTTTTGTTAGCATTGCAGCAAAATAATTTCAATTTGATATTTATTTCCTGGAATCAGAAAAGGTTTCTGGCCAAAGCCAAAATGCTGTTTAGGAAATCCTAGAAACCTTAACATTTGATATTAATTATGGGATTAGCACCCCTCTTCCCCCCCCCCCCAAGAAAAAAAAACATCAAAAAATGCACACAGAGGGAATTTAGGAGCCAACATAATTATAATTGTAAAAGCAATAATA